CGAGGATATGGTTTATTTGTTTGCCTTCTTGCATTCAGAGGCCTCGTTGAGGTCTGTTTCTGGGCGTCAGTAGAATATGACACGTACAGAGGAGCATGGTCCGCATCAAAAGATGAGAGCGATAGTCTTAAATAGATCACTACCAGCGGTGTGTATGACGGTGATCCAGTCGATTACAGTCTACTGCTGAAAGGAGTTAGAGGAGTTCACGTAAGGTGATATCGCTTCTTGTGGGAGAAGTTGGAGTTTGATGGAAGAATTCGTGGTCTGAGCAAAGTCGATCTCTGCGAGGCTCGTTGTCCATCCTGTTCGCTGGGACTTTTCGGAATGGTTCAGATGTGCCAATTGAGCACCAACGACTACAACGATATCCGTTGAGCGAACACTTTGGTCTACTTGAAAAAGATCCTTGTGGATCTTATCCTTCATTTCACTTCAATCAATCGGTGTAAACACAGATAAAACGAACGACTGCCGAGAGTTCGTTCTGTAACCATGAATTCGAAATGAATTGTCGAGACAAATGGGGTAAAGTAAGTCATTAGCTCGAATTCAGTCAAGAATTGAGCGTTCAAGTTGAACACTTAGCACACTTGTGATACCGGCAAAAATGCAAGTGTAATATGCCGAACTGCCTTACCCAAGGTGAGCGAAGCATAAGGACGAGTTTCTATCTGAAGAAAGCAGAGGTATAAATGAATTATGGTCTGGTATACGTGTTTTGGAGATACAGCCTACGTCTAACTTGAAAATGGAAGGGTCTAGATAAGTTGATTTGACTGACTAACCTTCGGACTTCATCTTCACGCACAATCCTCAGTTCATCGGTTCAACTATACACTCGGAAGCACTAGACCCGAGTTTCGCACTTATTAGAGTTCATCAGTAGTGCATATCCATCGTCCCGTCCGGGATTTGAACTCCGGACCCATCGCACACACTACTCACAAATAAATGTGAGTCGAATTCAAAGGTTCTAGATAAGTCAATTTGCTGGTTGATCTTACAGTGTGCCTACAGTGAATGTGGGTACGGGAAAACAAGATCTTGGTTTTATGAATCCAATAATCTTGTCACACAAACGCTGAATGATATTCCGAAGCACTCGCGTGAGAGCTTTTGGAAACCTGAATAGTAATTTGTTTGCCGTTGGGGATTGGCCCTTAGCCACCCAATGAGACACAGACGGAGAAGCGCCTTATCGGACGGGAGCTACCCAGCCGACGCCGGCGGCAACCATTGAATAAAGTACAAAGACTTCATTCACCGTCAGGAAGAAGACCTGCATAATCCGCTCGTACATTTATCTAGCGGGGTTCTTTGACAGGTAAACTGCTCCTCTTTGTGTTTCTTCACCAAACTGACCTCCCCAGGGACGAGTGGACAGTAAAAGGAAGTTAGATGACCAACCAACTGGCCCTGAGACTGGAAACTGTTTGGCCTCCACACATTGGTATGATCGAATGTGCGATCCTGAACGGTCATAAGGGCACGCAAGCTATCGTAACACGTCCAGGGGCTGTCTAGTCGTGATCGATTGACGACCATACACTGGGGTTCATCTGATTCAAACCGATAACCTCAAACAGTTTGATGTTTCTATCTTTATCTCGGTCTTTCAAGAACCCGGATCATTTGGAAAATCTTTTAAAAGCCGTAAGATTAAATTAAGCGCACAGACTGCAAGGATTGGCAGTTTGTTGGCTTGATTTATCCGCTCCAGATTAGTGCATCATCATCATCAGACATCTTGTTATCTTACAGACTATTACAGTCCACTTGTTAAGGAACTGGTATTGACCAAAAGTTACCGGATCAATGTTTGACCAGCGGTTTTACATGCAACACTGCGATCACATTGAGTAATCGTGATGCTACTTTCGCCTGATCGAACGACTTGTCCAATCTTTTCATTCAAGAACTCTGTGCTGATTATAAAATTAAACTATATCATTTAAATGCGATGGAAATATTTTTGATAACCAACAAAGAGCACTGGACAGCTGTTTCGTCTTGTTTGGGACTCGTCAGCAGTGCGTACTTTTTGTGTCCCTGTCAGGACTAGAACCACGATCAGTCGAGTCGAGACTTCAAACCCTTAAACTATATCACTTCAGCAAATCATAGCAGATCTGTGGGGACCGGAAAACAAGATATGCTTGTGGTTTCCCCAACCTTAGATCATTGATTATAATGGTTACGAAAAATTTGATTCATGGATAACGAATACGGTTAGGCCAACCAGTCAAATGAAATATGACGAAACAATCGGTAAACGCCCGAAGAGAATAAGGTGTTGGTCATCGAGAAAAAACCTCTCCAATGTTCTCCCACTAAACGCTGTTCTGCGTCTAGGAACGCGTTCACATGGAGGGCCATAATCGAATTATATTGGAAGACACAACTGACGACACATCTCATTGCTGAAACTCGATGCGACTTAATGTTTATCACAGAAGGAAAATATATTCCTTGTTCAGTTCGAGACGCCGTAATTCGGAAGTGCCATTGTCATTTTATCGTACCGCAAAAAGAAACTGAGGTGCAAACTCAGCAGGATCCTCGATCGTAGTATTCAAAACAGGGAATCGCGGTAGAACCCCAAACAGAAAAATATGCGGCTGACGCTCAACACAGAAAATTCGAGCAGACAATGTCGCACGATACATTTTCCCTCATGGTCCCTCATCCCAGTGCAGAGCTCAATGCTATCTGGCGCGTACAAAAATGGTAGCTAGTCGTGAGCAAGGCAGGTAGGGTTTTTAATTCTTCCCTGCAAGATGATCTGAGTCTGACAACGGTACTGTATTGTGACACGAGATCAGACCAGGCCAGCTCCCTTTCTCCCATTCCAACAAGACTATTAGAGTAGGAAATTCAGTCAAACGGCTGGTCAACAGCATGCCTGGAACANTCATGCAAAGGGAATAAGTGAAAACTAGAATAAAACGTTCGACGCAGTTCGAGAGAACACTCCCAATCCGACTTACCAGAACCGCTATGAATCAGTGTCGTCCACGGGGTGCGTCTATCCTTTAGCAAGAGTCTCAGCATAGCGGGGGGTGGGTGACTAGGGTTGCGGTTGGTCACCCTTCCCTTGCACCTCGCAAAACGTTCCCCTAGGACCAAGCTTTTCGAATGGCCTCTGCTGAAGAAGCTCTACTCATTGCTTTCTGGCGGTGGTGTTTTCCCACCAAGGTAAGAGGTCGAAAAGCCGACATCCGGATTGGTGGACCACTGGTAGTTCACCTAGGGGAGCGGCCAAAAACCCTAATACCAAACCAATCATATATATATATATATATATATGTATATTAGCCAGAGATAATCATGAAAAATAAATGGTTGCTTCTTAGCCCTCACACAATCCTCGCGCGCATCTGTTTAGTCTCGTGACCGATTTGCTTTCCGGGTGCGACAAAGAAAATTCCCAGCAATCCGGTCCTCCTATCCCGTACGCCAATCACACACGGAGTGTTTAAAACGGAAGAAAGCAAAGCAAAACTGTGATGTAACGCATCGATTCTTCGGTCACCAGGAGCCTGGTAACGAACGGTTTAACACTTGGGAAGTTCAGACCAAAGTTGGTATCTGGTCGGACAGAACGACATCTCGAGTATGTACAACAGGAAGCACACTACCCACCCGTATACATGTGCATGCGCGCGAAACAACCACCCCGAAACAGCAATTGTTCGCCAACGGCGAGAATGAAAAAGAAACAGTGTGACGCAAAACAAGACCAAATGAACGTGCCCTCTATCGTGAGTATAGGTTCTCATGGTCACTGTATATATATATATATATATATGTATATGCATATATGTATATAAGGATAATTGTATTATCTACACGAACAGTTTTCGAGGACTGTTGGCATCAAGTCAGTTGAAATAAACCTGACCCCTTTGTGTGACAAAGGAGGCCAAGGCTAGGTAGGATACGCGGTGGGGGGGGGGAGAGAATTTGTGTGTGTNTCTGTGTCTCAAGAAAACGAAGAAAACAATGTAAGCCAGTAACGCCTATCTCCAATCGCGCTAAAAGAAAAATCCGTGCCATGGGAGTGGTTGGGATGGGTAGAGAAGAGCTGCAAACAACAACAACAACAACAACGGCAAGAGAAAAACAACAACAACAAAGGAGAATGGCACCAGCGTAAGCAACAACCGCAACTGCAGCCGAGGATTGGAGAAAAACAAGACCAAAGGGTATATATCTGGTTGATGGAAAAATGTGACCGGAGCGACGGCTTGGCCACATTCGGTACGACTTTCTGGAGGGAGGGGCGGGCGGGATTAGCAGAAGTTAATCAGGTAGAAGAAATTCAGGAAGGCTTAGGTAACAACTGAGAGTGAAAACCTCGCGCACGCGTCTCATAACCAAATTGGCAACGGGCAATAACCCACTCCCTCCGGAAAGAGGAACGGGGATAACGAGGTGATGACAGAGGAGTGAGTGTCTTAGTTAAAACTGAAGAAAGATTGGTCATATCTAAAGGGAAACAGTCGCAGTTGAAGAAGTGAGGATGAAGATTGAGAAAAAAATAGACAGCCACACGAAACAGTATCAATATGGTACAGTGTGACTATCTGCGAGAGAGGAAGACAGCCTGAAACACCCGGGATAAAAGACAACGGATGTTGTTGCTATCCAAAGGAACCGATCGTGACAATGAGGTAGAGAATTAGCGCGAGAGAGTAATAGAGGAATGAAAAAGTCAAATACGAAGGAAGGATAGCTGTTATCAAACCCTAGCCGGAGCCAGTGTGGAACGTTGACTGCACACCTCACGCATCAAAGGACTGAGCCCATCCAGACTGAGCAGCTTCGCAAATTCTGTCATTCGTATCTCCAGTGTGCGCAGATCCACAAAGGCGATCAGTAATCGCGCATAGAGCTCCGTGGTCGAGCGTAAACGTTTCGGACCACCGCGAGAACGGAGATATGCCCACAAAAATAGCAAATAGGCTTGACGGGCAGCACACACGGCAGATCGAAGACTGTCTGGAAGAGATTCGTCCGTGAACAGTTTGATAGCCAGAACGGACACACGGACAATATCATCCGAGCCAATCAACTGATCTAAATGATCAAACGCAGCCAGAGTATTGGCTTTATACAACTCAAATTCTTCCCGTAGACCTGAAGTGTATCTGTGTTCGGCACGGCATGGGGATAGTCCAGGACAGCTGGTGGGTGCAGCGGAGTGAGACGCGGCGGATTTCCTGAGATGATCATCTTCCTCATCGTCATCCATTGAGGAAGCAGGCAATCCACCGTTGGCGCTAGGTGTGACAACCTCGTCCAACATGGACACGGTAACTGTGGTCAACTGACCGTCGGATTGAAGGACCGGGTAGCGCAGTTTACGGATGCCTCGTTCGAAGAAAAAGGACGAATACAACACGATCAATCCGTAAATGTTGGTCTGAAAAGAAAATAACTATTGGTTAGATAGATCCAACTTAACAGCAGTTGACAATAGTTCCACAGCTAGCAAATAAGCCCTTCGAAAGTTATCGTTTAGAGCTAACGTTTCACGACGACTGATTATATCTTCGTCGTTAATAGCGGTAATTTATGAGTAAAAGCTATCCTGTAGACAGAGGAATTGAATGCTAGTTGAACAAATTTTTCAGCACCAACCAATCAAATAACGGATTCCGAAGTCTACTCATCAGTTCAAATCTATCTGATGATGCACAACACAAAAAGAAAGTTTTGAAAAAGATCGAAGTTTGTTTTTTTACAAGAACAAAACCGATGCAAAGCATTTAGAGTAGCAGCATTCAAGTAACTGCACAGTGATCTGAACAAAGCATCAAACAAGTCGTACAAGTGTTTTAATCTCATTGTCACTACTACCACCCCGATCACCATCACACTTGTTATGGTGTGTAACAGAAAATGAAGAGCAACTCCGTCAATCTTATTAACACCATCTCGATGAACTATGCAGTAGAAATAGGGAACCGCGCCAGTTGTAAAAAAAAAGCCAAATAGACTCAACGCCAAAGCACTTGGATCCCCCTCTCTTTCAATCACACAAACACATACACACACTTATGCTGTCACCCACTGATGCTGTATCATGGCCCCACTGTTATTTGTAACTGAGGTACTTGGCGTCACTCCGATATTGTCCTGTCTTAGATTCTCGGTTCTTGCGACTACAGAACAGATCAACGTAACTACCCTGATTTACATACCCTAGATGTGACCATTCAGAACATGACGGACTGCAGCCAATTGATCACGTATTAGACCGAACTCAGTCTGGAGGGTTTGATTTATGACTGACGTGATAGCGAACGACATGGTCAATCGTGGTTCTAAACGCTGGCTGGATGGCCTGCTTCTTGTCCTCTATTCTATTCATTTGTTTGTTTGTTTCTCAAATGCGTAGCGGAAAAGTTGTCCTATCTAAGCCCCGAGGTGGCACATTCAGTTGGATACTCTTTTAAACAAGTGAGACGGAACACATGTGAAATGGTCCTGGTCCGGAGTTCAGGCTTTGCTCGACAAAGAAGGAGAAGGGGAGGAATCGATGACAAATTTCGCCGGCGCGAGGCAAACGGGGGGATTTTGTAAGGGAATATACTATATTGGGTAGATTTAACTGGTCGGAAAATCAGCTAGACACGGGATAGCAGTAATGCTTTTTAGTGTACATCAATCCAGCGACTACCGGTAGGATAATTCATCAGTTTACGGTTCTCGCAAAAGAAAAGGACGAAACGTCAGAGAAGTTGTAAAATTCATACTATTTTTCTAAGTACGCATGGCTTGAAAATATATACAAGCTTAGGAGTAGGATACGCCGTCACGATCGCAAAATTTTGTCGCGACCATTTTCTGTGTGCTTTCACCGTCTGATTATGTTCGACGAACAGCCACCAGCCACAAAGCACTAATCCATTTTGGCAATTTGGCCTAAATAGGAAGTAGACGGCCGAGGTTTAGACGATTGTTGAGTTTATCGATGCAGATAATTGAAGTGGAGTAGGACGGTACGATTTGTATATTCGAGATGAATACAGTATGCTGTAAAATATAAAACCACTCATTTTTCCGCCTCTGGACTGTCCGACAAAACCTTATGACATCAAATCAACAAGGTACACGGAACAATACAGCATTCAAAATTGTATAGCCAAACTATGCAATACGTGCGCAAAAAGTGCAGAAGGGAAGTGATGAAGGCATAGGAAGCCCCGATTAGGTGCACTTTTACCCACAGAAAACAGATTGGCATGTGACCGGTTGATTAGTTCGGTCAACAGATTTGCTAACTGAAAAGCCTATCAAAACTGAAACCATACGACTAGTACACTGGAGCTCAAGATTCACCCCAGTTTTTGAGGCCCTAACTCATTCTAGTCGCACACCTTATAGAACTCTGGCCAAATTTCATCTGTAAGTAGTAATAAAATAACTGAATTCTGCATTCCACCAAAATGGACTCCGTTTTCAAGGCATCAACATCACCAGGGTGTATGAGGTACCTGATAGGAGTGGCACCTGAGTAGGTAGATTGGCGTGTCCCCTAGAGAGCATCCTTCTCCTCTTAGGTCTCGATCATGTATCCAACCCGTGCCTGGGTCTCCACGAAGCTGAGGCATTTCGTTCGACTAAACTAGGCTAAAGTACGTTGAGAGCAACCAAGTCTTGGTGAGACGGAGAACGACATTCGAAAACAGCTATGCCTGAACGGGCAGACGAGATCTACCATCTGATTCAACGGCTATGGAGGAAGAGTTTCCAACAAACAAGGGTGCATGGGTGCCTGAGTTACATCTAATGAATGGCGAATGAGCTAGTACGGAGTCATCGATGATCACGAACCAACACACTGCTGCCTTTCAGTAGACATTTGGCTGTCCTAAGACCCGAGGTGAACCCCAAAACAAAACACTGAGTACCGAAATTCCACGAAACTGCATGATCTTCATTGAGCCGGTTTATCCTCTCCAAGGAGCCGGTGAAAGTGAAATAAGTAAAGCATCGTCAGACATTCGAAGACTTAGACGAACGCAAAACAAATTTTCTATAATCCAATAACATGTTCCAGATCAACGTCGAAATCTTTAATCAAAGTCCGTATTTCAAAATGAACTTTGAAAAGAAACCTCACAGCTGTGCGGCAGATGAAATACAATCGGTGAAAACACATCTTACTCGTAAATCAATACATAAGGAACCGCGTTTACCAGAGGCGCAAATAAACGCTGAGTGAAAAAAACAGAGGTAGGATTTTGATTAAAATGACCAAAAAAACCACTAGCTGGACAGGATGCATAAAATTACTAGCATAATATGAAACAAGATAAAAGGAAAACTTTGGGGTTAACGGAACAATAGCAATAAGAGCTCACTGATGGTTTGACGACAGGCGTCTCAGACAAAGGATAAAGTGAACCAGTTAGGATAGTCAGTCAAATCAATCAGTATCGACCATCCCACACACACACTACTCACAAGTAACTGTGAGTTTAATACGAAATCAATCAAGCCTGGTAGGTATGTGGCCAGTGGCTCGTAACCTGCATGGAAGTCCTGACTTGGTGGGGGCTTTCGATTGGAGTTAATAGGTTGTACCTATGTCCCCCTTCGTTGCTGTCGGGCAAAATGAACTGACTGACTATCATTGAAGACAACACCTGAACAAACATGAATTAGCAATTTGGTTCAGCCAGGGCATGAGCTTGTTGGCGCAGTGGTAACGCACACGCCTTCCATGCGATGGGTCTAGAGTTCAAATTCCGGACAGGACGGTGGATATGCACTACTGATTAGCTCTAATAAGAGCGAAACTCGAGTCTAGTGCTTCCGACTGTATGGTTGAACCGATGAACTGAGGATTGTGCGTGAAGGTGAAGTCCGGAGGATAGTCAGTCAAATCAATCAGTTATGCTTGAGATTACACAATGCTCCGTTAGTTTAGTCATACGATGGAACGGTTAATACTGCCTTGACTGACCAAAAGATGATGCGACATCATTCCAGGTTCAGTAATTACACTCCACAAACTGTTGGTTGTCCTTCCATGGGGAGGGGTCAATGTCACACAGTTGACGGTCTGCAGCCCAGATCTGAACCCTATTGAGAACCTTTGAGGCATTTGCTAGCTCGATCGATATACAAGCGTTACAATTCTCACAAGTCCAGTGAATGGATCAATTGGATTATTTAAACCGAAGCGTCTCATTTGGAATGGATAAATCTTAATATGGACAAACAAGCAGACTGTTTGATGAAACGGCCCATCAGTGGACATGCATTGTTTGTAGTTACAATTTTAAACATTTATTCGCCCCAGGAATTCTTGTTCCTTTTAACCATTGTGAGAAACCGCCAATAGCAGCGTTTTGTGCAATGTAACCGTGCTACTCACTAATGTGAGTAGTACCTCACAACACAAGGATTATATAGTTTGTCAGTCACAGAGTGAATCAATAACCGCTTTGGAGCAGATAGAGACGAACACTGATCATGTGATGACCATACAGATCTTACAAGAAATATGCCAACAAGACACATGGTGGTTTTTCAACTGAATGAGAGTTTCACATGACTTCCAGTTGTCATTATAGGACCTGAGGTTCCCAGACCTTCTATCGTCTCCTTTAGCATTCATTGGTAAGTATCTTTACTTCATCGTGAAGTTTTATATTCTGCATCGCATTCAGTCAGTCTTGTTAGACATGATGTAGTTAGAGAATAAAGAAGTAATGATGTTCGGAAAAAACAAGGTCGTGTCATACTGTTGTCGCGCATTGTGCTGAACGAAATTTGGATATCGCGGAAGACGAAAGCAAGGAACATTCAACAAGGCCCCCAGGAAACAAGCTCACTCTCTACTCCGCAATTGTCATATCGGCTAGATCCGTTACACATATCACTGCAAAGAGTGCAGAAGATACACGTAGGACCAATGAAGATGGATCAACCCCACCCCCAGCCCGCCAATATACAACCATCGACCTTTTCACATTAATCAATTTCAAAATCTTTAGTTACTGGGTAAATAAGTAGATGAAACTTGAACTAAACATATGCTTGTAATGAATAAAACCAGTAGCACATTTATTTCTTAATGATTATCAATTCTACTTTCTACTATAGTTACTTTACTCTTCATCTCCTAAAAATCAATCAAGGTGTATTACTCCGCACACACACACAATCCATAGATAAAGTTTAACATTTATGCTGTTATCTCTCGTTTGAAAGGCAGGATTGACTGGACAGTGTGCTATACCAACAAATCAAACCAAGTGGTCACGCTGTATCCAAAGACATGGTGATTGTCACTTAAAATTCGATGAGAAAACGGTATAGATCACTGTAGTCATGCATACACAACAGATTGTGGGGTACAATGCAGATGCACAAAATGGTAGCCTTGGGCTTGTCGTAGTCCGATAG